ACTTAAAGGAATGAAACCAAAACTGGTTGCTACATTTATAGCATTGATAAGAATTTTACAGCAAATATTCATTCATTAGTTTTTGTTCAACTTGGGGCATGATGGTGGGTAAAACATGGTTTGCGTCCACTTGCTCGCAAACTCGTTTTCCGCACTTGGGTGTCATGGGTGCGTTATATTAGTGACGGTAAAATCCAGCTACTAAATTACAGTAGTCTAATAATTTGAGGTGGTTTATGATGAATATCTACAGTTCCTATAGTCCAGTGGTTCCCAAAATCTTTGAGCCTGAGGTTCCCTTGATGTGAATAAAAAAGTTTGAGGCCCCCCAAACTATGACTTTAGTATGGTGTTTGACAAACTGTATAATTTAATTAATTCAACATAATTTTTATCGTCTTATTGTTTATTTAGAATTAAAATTAATTCAGCATTTTTATTTTCGGCCCATTTTTTGGCGGCCCTCCAGAAAAACTTTCACGGCCCCATGGGTGCCGCGACTCCTACTTTGGGAAACACTGTTTTAGTTAATCAGCTCAGTTTAGGGACTATTAGTGCAGATAATCCTCGTGTATCTTCGTGTGAATATCCGAAACAAGCCAGCTTTATGATAATTTTTATTATTTATAAGTTAATTACTTGTATATATATATATATGTGTGTGTGTGTGTGTGGGTGTGTGTTGTATAGATGATCAAGCAAATGGATTAGTTTGAAAAACATAATGGGCACAAATCAAAATGACGTAAATACAAGACTTGTTTAACTTTTTAAAAATATATTATTTTACTCATGCCGAACAAACTGGACCTAAGAGTAGACAGTGTTTCCAACTAAATATATTTGTTCATATGACAGCCTGTATCATCCAGCCCACGACCAATTCTTAATAATGTTTTGATGTCAGATAGAACGTTCCTACATTACTTATTTCTCTGGTGACGTTAAGATGTGTCTTTGTAACAATATACTTAAGTAGGCAAGCGATTGATGTCGAGTGAGTATCACATCGATTTTTGAGTTGCTATTGCTTTGTTTGTACTTGATTAAGTGGCTGGAACCCTGTTCAGCTGTTCTCAGGTTCTTTACAGCTTATAAGGCACTAGGGGTTTGGAATTATTTCTAGCTTATCAAGCACCAATGGTTTTCTCTTAACAGAAAAACGCATGAGACGAGGCTAGACGATTCTTTTGAAATAAGATATTCCGAACTTGATGGTGCTGTGTGTTGATGTGGTGTTTACACATTAAAATATTACTATAGTAATTGATAAGGAAAATAAAACACCAACTTATAATGTAAATATAAGAACATTTATGGTATATTATTTTTAAGCAATTACCAGGCTCACAGTACGTCGTTCAGCTACTGAAGATTAGAATTCTAACCCATCAACATTGCTATTGTTTTCTTATTTTCAGGCTTGAATGAATTAATTGAAGTTAGGCTAAAGAAAAAATGCCACCAGAGGTGAATAAAAACGGATATTAAATCTAACTACAAGACTAATTAACCTCAAACTAAAACATGAAATTAGCAGATAAGCTTACACATTTACTTAAGAGCCTAGAATGAAGCAATTCGAAATCTTCAGTTTGACAGCAGATTAACTTTGATACATCTACTTTTATGGTTAATTTACGTCGGCGTCGGTTCAGTTCTGAAACCTAATTAATGTTCTTTCTATGAAATCTTAGTACTACCGTTAGAGATGCTACTTCAAGATAACAATGGCGAGATTGAGTTCGTGGATTTTGTTAAACATTTGTAGCACAAGCCATACAATCTAGCTGCTTAATTAAGAGATATCGCCATTATTTCTTTATATACATTGGCTGTGGCTAGTTGACGTTGTAGCGAATAATAACTTTTAATGACTTATTATATTTATGTCTTACAATAGTATAATATGCCAGCAGTGAATCAGGCAAATGTTGATTAGGCTAAACATGACATATTTCATATCTATATATTCAGAAACTATAGAACATTTTTCTACCAATATAGTTTTCTTTTATTTTTGCAAGTTATCGGTCTTAGAAATAGAATATATTGTTTAAGAAAGTGCGTTGGACTGAGTTCACAGTGTTACTTGTAGAAAAAACAGTGACATTTAACATAATTTGTTATCCGGTCAGAAGTAACATAAAACGAAATGTAAACGCTGTGAAAAATAATATCCCTACTATTCGAACAGCAAGGGAAATTATAATTAAGTAAGTTTATTTTTTACTAACGATCTTTATAAATAGTAACGGTAAGAAACGTGTAAAATATATATTTCAAAGAAGAACACTGGATACCCAGAACGGAAGTAGCTCACTACAGAATATATCTTTTGAAGTGATAACTAACAATACTGACAGAACAACAAGTCTGTTCAACAAGTAACGATCGATACTGAGAGAACAACAAGTCTGTTCAACAGGTAACGATCGATACTGACAGAACAACAAGTCTGTTCAACAAGTAACGATCGATACCGACAGAACAACAAGTCTGTTCAACAGGTAACGATCGATACCGACAGAAGAACAAGCCTGTTCAACAGGTAACGATCGATACCGACAGAATGACGAGCCTGTTCAACAAGTAACGATCGATACCGAAAGAATGACAAGCCTGTTCAACAGGTAACGATCAATACCGACAGAAGGACAAACCTGTTCAACAGGTAACGATCGATACCGACAGAAGGACAAGCCTGTTCAACAGGTAACGATCGATACCGACAGAACAACAAGTCTGTTCAACAGGTAACGATCGATACCGACAGAACAACAAGCCTGTTCAACAAGTAACGATCGATACCGACAGAACAACAAGTCTGTTCAACAGGTAACGATCGATACTGACAGAAGAACAATTAATTGGTAGCGATCGAGACAAGCACTCTTAACTGACTTGTATATATTTTATTACAATTAGTAATATCATCAAATGCAGAAATATAAATAACCAAAACACATATCCAATAATGTTATTTCATCTTTAAGAAAAGCAAATCTGTAAAAATACCATTGAAAACGCAAACAACACTAGAACACAATCTACAGCATATATATCAGAGGTGGAAGTAAGGCCTCAATTGGCCACTACATGTGGTATACTGGTATGATAACCAAGTCTCCCTATATCTTACGTCGCGCAATGTTGCATCATATCAAATACGAAACCTTTGTTTTTAGAGCGTAGAATATTTTAAATATGATGTGTTTATGACATGATATTTTATATTTCCAAGATGTCAGCTATTGCCAACTGTAAACGTTACGTTACATATATTTTTTTCTTCTCCACTTATTATTTCTGTGACTAAATACCTTTCAAAGCCACGGATGAAGATTTACGAATATCTTATTGTTTTGAGAGTTTATCTTTCATCTGCTGATTTACATAATATAATCTAGAGCAGGAGTAAGCAGCTACGATACTCCCAGGTTAAACTTTTTATTCGGTTAAAGAATTACATACAATATAAGTCAGATCAAGGGTTATAGATAAGACCTGAAGAAAACGTGGCTCATTGATGGTAAGTTTTTTTTTGTCAACTGGTCAATTTTCGAGAACAAAAATACATTATATAAACCTGAAGTGGAGTGAATAACCAGAGCCTACATAAAAATTCAAAAAACGAAAAAAATATGTTTATTTTTAACAATCTGCGTTTAAGTTATATCCTCTGATACACCTACATAAAATGCCATTTTCAGATGCTTTCTCAGACGCATCATTTGTGCACCGTATTATTTTCTTGTCATGCGCAAAATCATAAGAAACTGATCGTTTAACAGAAAATTCGATTGGTCTGACAAATATTGCGTCACGTTTTTTTTCTTTCTTTCTTGTCAGTTGAAAGCGCATTGTCACAAGAATCGAGCTACCATCAAAACGTAAACTTTGTGTAACGAACTCTATTACTTAAGATATATATATACTGCGAGGAGCCAGGCGTGGTCTTGATATTAACAGTTTCTATATGGTGACTTGATTCTGAAATGTCTGGAAACCTAACAGTTAAATTTAATGATCGCCAGAAAAACTCTGAAGAGATCATGTCCAGAGAAGCTTTACTTGGAACAGCGATTTATTTGACTATAGTTGGTGAGTTTTTTCACGTTCAAAAACCTTCCTTCTGGACATTAGTCAACTTAACAAAATAACGCAGTGATTAGTTGATGATTGTACAAAATATATGCTCAAAGATTAATTCACAAGACGTATATTTTCATATATCTGGCTGATCCATATTCTCAGTAAAACTTACATCTAGTACACTACACTGACATAGAGCAATATATAAAGAAATTAAGAATAAAGAATAAAGACCTGCTATATTCATCTGTATAAGGAAGTGGATCATGCTGGATTTCATTTTGTAGAATATTCAACAAAAAAAGTCACGAAATTACTACAAAACTAAGGAAACAAATAATCAAAGCCACCAATATCCCCTAAACGTCTTATATTGGTTAAAAATACTGTTAGCATTGCATTAAATGCTCTTATACTGGTCAGAGGAAGGTTTGGTTTGTTTTGAATTTCGCGCAAAGCTACACGAGAGCTATCTGCGCTAACCGTCCCTAATTTAGCAGTGAAAGACTAGAGGGAAGGCAGCTAATCATCGCCATCCACCGCCAACTCTTGGGCTACTCTTTTACTAACGAATAGTGGGATTGACCAAGACATTATAACGCCCCCACGGCTGAAAGGGAGAGCACGTTTGGTGGGAGGGCGATTCGAAACCGTGATCTTCAGATTGCGAGTCGAGCGCCATAACCACCTGGCCATGCCGAGCCATCCGAGGAAGGAAAATATGACTAAAAATCACTTTTTGAGAACTTTACTTTTCAAAAATATGTATTTTACACCAATGTAAAAGCGTATTTGAGAATCCTCGCTTTTCAACTGCAGGTTTAGACTTTGGGTTTTTCTTATAACCTTGCATGCTTGGAAGCTGTAATATTAGACCACATTCGTTAACTAAACACACAGAATGATTATCTAAGGCATGTAGTTTTGAACAAGATCAGGTGTTACTAACTCAGCTTGGTCGATAATACAGAATTTCATCCAAGAGAACATTGGGTGTAAAATCAACTTACATTCTGTATAAAACCATATAGTTCGACAATGTTAACAGTTTACTATTTATTCTCTGTTAATAGTAAGTATTTTTTACACTTTCATAGAAGTAAGGCGACATTAAAAGCTTACGTAGGCTAAGTACGTTATATTATAAAGATTTTGGAGCCTCAACAGGTTTTCATGTCCGGTCATGCCCTGTCTGTGAACCGTGTATCTTGAAAATAGCTTTGCAAAAAGCTCCGCCGTAAGGTTGTGATGTCTAAAGCATACCCCTTCTTCCTGCTATTTTCTATAAGCCATCAAGTGTACAGGAGCAATGGTTTCTCCGTGAACGTTTAAACAGTCGTTTGCACAGAAATCTTTAGGCGATGCATCCAGCGACTTGACCAATATGTTTTTGTATGGATTGGCATGATTACTCATTTAATCATCCAGTTGCTTGATGTACAAAACGGTTGAACAAATATGTCTTGGAAACAACTTGTGTACACGTGACTTGTATCACTTTTTCCAGACGGAGATCCTTCTTGATTATGTTCTGTACTGTTATCTGGAGCACCTGGGCGTACAGATTTCGTTACTTAGATTTGTGTTCGCGGATTCTCACCTGTTACAAGACACCACACTTTGCTTACCACGGCTGGGGTACGACTTATTGCAAGTCTCTTTCTGGATGGTCCTGGTGTCCCAAGTTGATTCATATTCATTTATTTTCCAATGTCATTAAGTAATAGGGATATCGCGTTTTGGAAATTCTAAATCTCCGATATGAATACATCTATATGACCTGACTGTATGAATACCTTGCGTCGGAAAAGTATCTTAAACAAAATTTCCAAAAGTGTTACATTTACGATGGGCACACTACCTATGTAACGCCTAACAATGTCAAACTGTATATGTGATGAATGTCATTTTATCGCAAATTATATCGACTGAAGTTGTTTCGTAACTTACTGATTTCCATACTTAAAATCATTTTGTTGTATCGTACTCAAACCTCTGTAGAAAGTTCTCAACAGTATTTGACAGGTATAATTGGATGGACGAATTTTACGAAACGTAAACACCCACTTAGATATAGAGTTCTAGGTTAAAACATGCTATTTATTGCAGCTCTAAGCAATAGTGTAGTGCTAAATAAAGTACTCAAACCTCTGTAAAAAATTCTCAACGGTATTTGACAGGTATAATTGGATGGACGAATTTTACGAAACGTAAACACCCACTTAGATATAGAGTTCTAGGTTAAAACATGCTATTTATGGCAGCTCTAAGCAATATTGTAGTGATAAATAAAGTACTCAAACCTCTGTAAAAAATTCTCAACAGTATTTGACAGGTATAATTGGATGGACGAATTTTACGAAACGTAAACACCCACTCAGATATAGAGTTCTAGGTTAAAACATGCTATTTATGGCAGCTCTAAGCAATAGTGTAGTGCTAAGTAAAGTACTCTAACCTCTGTAAAAATTTCTCAACGGTATTTGACAGGTATAATTGGATGGACGAATTTTACGAAACGTAAACACCCATTCAGATATAGAGTTCTAGGTTAAAACATGCTATTTATGGCAGCTCTAAGCAATAGTGTAGTGCTAAATAAAGTACTCAAACCTCTGTAAAAATTTCTCAACAGTATTTGACAGGTATAATTGGATGGACGAATTTTACGAAACGTAAACACCCATTCAGATATAGAGTTCTAGGTTAAAACATGCTATTTATGACAGCTCTAAGCAATAGTGTAGTGATAAATAAAGAAGTGCCGGAATGCGAAATTTACTGCATAATCGTATAAAGTGGGATTCGTTTGAAGTCGTGGCGGTACAGCGTTTCGGAAAAAAGGTACAGGTACGCTGTGTCCACGCGTTCCCACCCCACTGCACCTCTAGTCATTTCTAAATCAATCCCATGTTCTTGTTCGTTGTGCATATAGTGACAGTTCTAAGCCGTTCAAATGTTTCTGTTTTCTCTATCTGTAATATAAAAACATGTGATTGTAACACTTCTCACCCATTCCTGTGGTCCTGATTTTATAAGTATAGCAAATATGGATTTGGTACAGTTCTAAGATGTTCAAGTGTTTCTGTTCTTATTATTGCTATAAAAATATGGATTTAAGACAAATTTCTATTATTGTTAGTATAGTACTGGAAAAATATGGATTTGGCACAGTTCAAGTGTTTATGTTCTTATGAGTGCTATAAAAATATATAAATATTTGGAAAAAACGTTGAAGGAAGTATTTCATTGCTGTTAAACTTAAATGATGATCACTACTTGTTTCTTTGTATAAAAAACGTGAATGTTGTAAAGTCCGAGTGATCAGTTTTTTGCTTTCGTTTAGTGGCTGTCCCCTGAAAGAACACACCCCTTTTTGTTCGTCCCCTGAAAGAACACAATCCCTTTTTTCGTCCCCTGAAAGAACACAATCCCTTTTCTTCGTCCCCCGAAAAAAACACCCCATTTTGTTTGTTCCGTGAAGGAACACTCCTTTTGTTCGTCCCCTGAAAAAAACACTACTTTTGGTCGCCCTCCGAAAGAACACACCCATTTTGTTCGTCCCCAAAAAGAATACACTCCTTTTTCGTCCCCTGAAAGAATATTTCTAGCCATTTTTAGCGACTAGTCTGGAGCAGTCCTAAACACCAGAAAGAAAATAATAAACAGCTGGAGGTATTTATTCCAGTATCATGCGTTTAGAAAAATGAGATAAAAATTAGTTTAGTTTCATGTCCAGTGTTGAACTTCATTTCTTCTTCACAGAGCACTCTTCTTTCCAATTAGTGCATCGCATACAACAAGCACCTTGGATGTTGACAGAGAGATTTTGCAAAAGTATATTCATTATAGAGCATTAAAACAAATAAAAAGTGTAGTTTTGTATAACAGATTAAAATACTTTAGGGTAGTTTCTGTAAAAAACAAAATATTCATCACATTCACTGATAGGATTTCTCAAGAAACGTTAATATAGAGGGGGTTAAAAGTCGTGAGAGTGAAGGACCCCTTTATTATTAATACTTCATTCAGCATAAAAATAGATAAATCTAAAGTTGAGCAGAAATAAGATAAATAGTCGTCCATATAATAAGGACGGATAACTATAAGGCAATAACAAATATGCAATCAATATTTTATTCCTTTATTTTCAGGAAAAGGTAGAATACTCTAGAGAATTCAGAGTTGTGTATTTGAATTTTAACAAGTTTAAGTCGTTAAATAATAGAAAACTGGATTGACAGCTCACACTGTATGGTTATATATATGTTTACTTGAAAATTGTAAGCACTAATCTTTTGCCAGAGCAAGTCACACAGGAAAAATTCCCGCTTACAGCATTTCGTTATGATGTACGTTATACATAAAATTACTATGTTTTTGCTTTGTTTTCGGATATTCGCACAAAGCAGCTTAGGAACTTCCCTCCCTAATTATGAACTGACAGGCTAAGAGAAAGCAGCTAGTTAAAAGCATCTACCCCCCAGATCTTGGGCTACTCTTATTTGACCGAATAGCGGTTTTTGAGTATCACCCTTATAACGAACCCACAACCCCAAAATGCGGAGCGTTATTACTAATATTGTTTTTTGTTGTTGTTGTTGTTGTTGTGTTGCGGCAACGGTACGCGAACAACAGACTAGCAGACCCATAATCCGACACGCTAACCACTGGCCAAGTTCACCCCCCCCAACAAAATTGAAATAATAAAATGCACTAATTATGTCTCAAAAAAACTAAAAACATTCTTGGTTAAGCCCAAAAAGGGTCAAGAAAACAAGCGTTACTTTTTATCTTAAGATACTGAATTCTCATTACACCAACAACAGTGTGTTTACATAATAATGATTTGTTTGTGTTGGAGCAAAGCCACATTGAGCTATCTGCTGTGTCCACCGCGGGAATCGAACCCAAGAATTTAGCGCTGTAAGTCCGTAGACTTACCTCTGTCCCACCGTCGGACTTACATAATAATGAACGGTCATACAGCATAACCAGCATATGAAATAGGAGTACATATTGAAACATATCCAATAATTATTACTGAATACAAAAAACGTACCATCAAACGTTTACAGTCGTTTCGTTTACTGTAAAATCGTAACATGAAAGATCTTCATTTAAATACTGATAAAAAGAGTAGCTCAGATCTGTATTAAAGTGTGACTGTAAGGATGGGAAGGTTAAAACTTCTCAGAGAGAGTAGGGGTAAATAAAGGATTGTACAGTTATATTATATGGTAAACCACACTTAAAGAACACATGTTCGTACATCAATTTTTAGAGACGATACCAAAATGAAAACAAGTAACTTTGTATTAATGATAAAAACTACAGTTTATTGTACAAAATATGCTCCATTGTGTGTCACTAATTATGGTGTATAAGCAAAAGTGAACATACATCACCACTGACTACAATTTTATATTTTTAAAACAAAAACTTGTCGTCGTAAATAACGCCAAGATAGTTTGAAATGATTAGCTCATCTTGATACAAATCTGTGTTCTAGAGTACACAATAACTGTGGTTTCTCACAACCTAAATAAATACAACACTTGTACTCATAAATTATTCTCTAAAAGCATGTTTATCCTACCTGATTGTTTGTTTCTAGGTGTGGTTGCTACAGTCGGGAACTGTTTGGTGGTCTCCGTTTTCTTCAAGAGAAGAGACCTGAAGAAGATTGGACACAGCATTCTCTTGGTTAACGTGGCTCTGACAGACCTCGGGATCTCAGTTTTCGGCTATCCCTTCACTACAGTGTCAGGTTATATGGGAAAATGGGTGTTTGGTGATTTCATTTGTCGAATGTATGCATTTGTCTGCTTTACACTTTCAATGATCAGCATAAACACATTAGTTGTTCTCAGTATCTATCGGTACATCACTATTTGCAAGCCGCACTACAGTAAGTACCACTTTATTTTCCTTTTATTATATCTCTCTAGACATAGGTGGCGAAATCGGGGGAAGGGGTACTGGGGACACGTACCCCTCTTGAAAAAATAAAACTACAAGCTTAAAAATATAATGATGCCAGTAAAACAAGTAGAACCTAAAAATATAAAGCGGGTTGTAGTTACCAGCATTCTTATTGGCCCGATTAAAGTTGGCAGTTCTTTTTTGACAAATCAGTAAAAATGCAAAAAGTACTCGCTCGAGAACTGTGTCGCTCTAGATTCAAAGTCCTTCCTTCCCCCTACGTCTCTGTGTATTTGTTCAATATAATTTTAAGAAAATTTACGAAGACAAGCCAATATAATCACAAAAGAAATGATTTAGGCTTAAGCATTAAATCAATGGTCGAGATTTAAATTCTAAATTTTCAAGTGATAACTTGTGTAAAAGTTTTTGTACTTCTATTGTATGAAAATCAACTGAGGTTTTTAAAATTTATTTATATGTTTTGGTTTTCATAGGGCAATGAAATAACAGTTTAATATTTTTATATAGCGCGGAAACTCATTGAGGCTGAACTTTCATTCTGCCACTAGGAGGAAGAATAGTCTATTTACAAATAAATGTTTTTTTATTCCTGACATATTTAAAAAGTTTTAGTACTGTTTCCACAGAGACACGACATTAACAGAAGGAGACACGTCATATGGCGAATATACTATTCTGATTAGTTTATACGTTTAAAAAACACCCCTACACTTACGTTATGTAATACAAAGCTTGCTTAATCAACAGCTGAATGTTGGTGTGCATAGTCATCAACATGGCAATATATATTGACAAAAAAAAAAAAAAAATACTGTCACATTTCTTCTAGTAATTACACCAAACTAGAAGTTGAGCATGAACTTGTTTCATTTAACTAGGGAATGGTTTAGACAGTGACAGTGATGGGTAAACTATAGGTAATGTTGTCTAAGAAGAATAAATTTGAAGATAAAGGATAAAATATTAATAAAAACAGTGACACTAGCGGGACAAAATCTAAGTGATGTAGTTTAGGAAAATAATTCCAAAAATATGGGATAAACTATGAATAAAACGACAACAACAACAACAACACTAAATTGCCGAGAAGAAAGCCAGGTGTATTGTAATAACAAATAGGTGTAATAATCATAAATAATATTCAACATTGAACTGGTATACGATTAAAAACATTTTATTTAGGCCGATCTATGGCCTTCAAAAAGTTGACGACTCTACATGTTTCGACGTTACAATGTTATTTATGATTTTAACTTTATACACAAGTGCCAAAATACTATAATTAAATAGGTGTAATGTTGGAGATATTTAGTTTTTTTTTAGATAAGTTTCTCAGAAGACCTTTAGTGTGGCTGTGGAGGACACACGTAGGAGGGCAGACAGGAGATGTTTGTATTCATGCATTCTAATAAGACATTAAATGTTTTGTGATCGTTTTCTGTACAATGTTGGGCCCGGTATGGCCAGGTGGTTAAGGAGCTTGATTTGCAATCTGAGGGTCGCGGGTTCGAATCCCCGTCCCACCAATCATTTTCGCACTTTCAGCCGTGGGGGCGTTATAATGTGTGGTCAATCCCACTATTTGTTGGTAAAAAGATTAGCCCAAGAGTTGGCGGTGGGTGGTGATGGCTAGCTGCCTTCCATCTAGTCTTTCACTGCTAAATTAGGGACGGCTAGCGCAGACAGCCCTAGTGTAGCTTTGCGCGAAATTCAAACCCAACCCAACTGTATAATGTTATCAAACATTCTTGATGGACATCAAACGTTTTGAGTTCTTCCTTCGTAAAACATTTTCAAACATTCTAGTTGGACTTTAAATGTTTTATGATCATCTTGTGTACAATGTTCCCAAAATTTCAAATGCCCAGAAGCAGAAGTCTACCTGGATTTTTAACACAAAAAGTGAGTGCCGAGAGATTAATAAAACACAAAAGTAAGAAGCTCAGTGAAACAGTTGTAAATTACTAAACAAAAAATCTAATGACCTGTATGTTTATTGTACTTATAAGTGCAAAGACTGAGATATTACTCTAAAAATATCAGCTATTTAAAGAGAGTGTTTTAGTCAGTCCAGTACTGATTGTCTAGCAACAGAGATTAGTATATTAATTCTGAAAGTGATTCTGTCCACATTTTAAACGTGTACAGTAGTTTTATGCAAGGTATACATATTACATAATTCATAATAACTATTTGATTTATGTGATAATCATTATATTTTATATGTTAAACTCAAGAAAACAGTGCTAAGAGCGAGTTTGACCCATCAGGCTTAGGCAATTAATTGTTACTTAAGTTTACAAGCTTGACCCATCAGGCTTAGGCAGTTAATTTTTATTTAAATTTAAAGCTTGACCCATCATACTTAAGCAATGAATTGTTACTTATGTTTACTAGCTTGACCCATCAGGCTTAAGCAATGAATTGTTACTTAAGTTTGCAAGCTTGACCCATCAGGCTTAGACAGTTAATTGTTACTTAAGTTTAAAGCTTGACCCATCATACTCAAGCAATGAATTGTTACTTATGTTTACTAGCTTGAACCATCAGGCTTAAGCAATGAATTGTTACTTAAGTTTACAAGCTTGACCCATCAGGCTCAGGCAGTTAATTGTTACTCAAGTTTACCTTAATTCATCGAGTTCTGCTGAAAGTCTAAATAGCAACGTGAAATAATTGAATAGATTGTATAACGTGGTAAAATAATCAGCAATAAGATATAGTCTATATATTCTATATAGTACAAGCAATCACACTATGACCCAGTAGTAGTAGTGTGGTCCTGTCATAGTTCTTATAAGCGTGATAAGTGTAAAGGAACCCAAGGAATTGTTCAAAACTAGGAAGTTAATACGAAGGAATACTAAACTCTGGGAATAATAAGCTTATGATATTATTAAAGTCACAATAAGTAAGATTTCTATAACTGAAATGAATTTGTAAAACAAAAGAAGTCCACTCGAAGGACAGAAAATAAACTGGAAACAATAAAATCTACAGTAATTTTAATTTTATTTTCTCTACTTATATGTGACGACTGTGAAGCTAAGTTGGTTACTGAAGAATGAGCTTCATTCCCTGAAACCTTTACATAACAAGTAAAATAAAATACTTAAAAGAAAATATTAATAAAAGACTGTTTATTTGTTAGAATTTTTGCGCAAAGCTACACTAGGATTATTTGGGCTTAGCTGTCCCTAATTTTCAACTCATAGACTAGGGAGCAAGCATCAAGTTAACAGCACCCAACGCCAACTATGGGGATAGTTTTTTTTTTTTTTTTACGACAACGAGATAGGAATCATAAACCCTAAAACTCAATGTCCGTGTACACTAAGTACTAAGCCACTTACATAGACTACATCAAACAAGAGCAAGTGTTTGATAAGTAATAGGTAAGAGCAAGTGTTTGGTAAGTAATGGGTAAGAGCAAGTGCTTGGTAAAGTAATGGGCAAGAGCAAGTGTTTGGTAAGTAATGCGTAAGAGCAAGTATTTGGTAAGTAATGAGCAAGAGCAAGTGTTTGGTAAGTAATAGGTAAGAACAAGTGTTTGGTAAGTAATAAGTAAGAGCAAGTGTTTGGTAAGTAATGGGTAAGAGCAAGTGTTTGGTAACTAATACGTAAGTGCAAGTGTTTGGTAAGTAATTGGTAAGAGCAGGTGTTTGATAAGTAATAGGTAAGAGCAAGCATGTTTGTAGAAACAGCCAATGTATTACCAAAAGACCATCCAGCATTCAGGGCTTGTAAATAATCTGTTGGGAGTTAGTGACAGATCGTTTGTGATGGCCTTTGTTTGTTTCTTTTCAATTCCGAGCAAGCTATACGAAGGCGATCTGCGCTAGCCGTCCCTAATTTACCAGTGAAAGACTAGAGGGAAGGCAGCTAGTCATCACTACCTACCGCCAACTCTTGGGCTATTTACTCTTTTACTAACGAATAGTGGGATTGACCGTCACGTTATAACGCCCCCACGGCTGAAAGGGCGAGCATGTTTGGTGGGACGGGGATTCGAACCCATGACCCTCAGATTGCGAGTCAAACGCTCTAACCACCTGGCCGTGATGACCTTTGAGAGCAGAAAAAAGTGGCATTGGATTCAGTCTTACATTCCGCCAGACAGTTTTATGATAGGCCATTATCCGTTTTGAGAACAAACAGGTAGAACACATTATCAAAAAAGAAAAAAGGTGTATTTTTGTTAGGTTTCAAACAGCGGATAGAAAATTCAAGATTCGCTTCACGATTCTGCTAAACACGTTCTGTACTTTCATATCCATATGAGTTTTAAGAGTGAAATGAATCCTGTTATTCGGGTCAATGTTGGACAAATCCTTTTGGTGACGGGTACTATTGGCTGGTTGTTTTTATTTCTAAGTAGTTCAAAATTAGGGACAGCGATATCTGAACTTTAGGGTTCTCTATCGTGGCTATTTAGTCCATGTAGGGATAACGTGCCGTTAAGGTTGACAATACCAATCAAACACAAAAGACTAAAATCCTTCATAAAAATGGCTTTTCCATTTTTACAATAAGACAGAAATTGCAATAACTTAACAATTGAACTTAAGAAAGCAAAATATATTTTGTTAGTTTGTTTGTAGTTAAGCGCAAAGCTACACAATGGGCTATCTGTGTTGTGCCCACCACAGATATCGAATCTCGGTTTTTAGTGTTATAAACCTTCAGACTTACCGCTGTGCCACGGAGGGGGGCAAGCAAAATAAATATCAAAATAAAAGTAATAATAATTAGACATTAAGTTTTATCAGATACGATAAAAAATATACAGTTTTGAATATTAAAACACTGTAAATCAATAGGCCTAATTTACATATTTGATAAAAGTCACGTTAAATTTCAGATGTTTTCACATTCATCTTAAAGAACAAATTAAGAGGAATAAATCAGAATTCAGGGTGATTTTCATCACAACTATTAAGTCTTTTTATTGGTTTACAATAATAAATTCTGTCACCATAAACCTATACGCATGTACTTTTACTTGGAAATGCTTTCCACAAAGTTTACACCACATTAGCTAAACAGCACACTGTATCGTGCTCATTTTGGCGCATTCTCGTAGTCAATTCCCACTAAACCTTTTCCTTATAACTACAAATAAAAAAAAACGAAAGAATTTTTTTCACACATAAAGACATTTGCTCATAAGTAGATACACGGGAATTGATAAATATTTCCGGGACATAATATCCTCACATAAATATCACTTTGTTTACACCAGTTTTATAACGATGATTTTGGCATGTTCTTGGAGAGATCTAATAAAAAAGAAGAAACGCAGAAAACGAAAGACATAAAAACCGCTAGACATTCACTCATTTCTGGCTCTATAGTTATTTTAATAGCAATGCAGTTTTACACAAATTTAGAAAATCGATTATTTTAGATTTGCCAAAAACACATTTTTTGCTTTGCTAGTTTCGAGTAAAGCATTATAATATCTGACCAGAAAAAAAAAGAGATATAAATCCCACGCGCAGAGTAAACTTAATATTTGTATGTAAAAAGCAAAAAAAAAAATAACTCTCTATGCGCAAAAGCGTTTCCAACAAACATGTTGTTGTTTTAAGACGGTGCTATAACTTTAACAGTTAATATAATTATATATATATATATATATACGTTGCCAGTTCTTGAAGAAAATTCATTCCAAATCAAAATGAACATAGTTACCATAGAAACGTTTTTACTTTTGGCGGTTTCTTGGATTTCTTAACATTAAAAATTGAATGTTTAAATACAAGATGCTTGAATGAGTAATTTCAAGTTTCAATACAACGATAAATGGATTAAACAAAATTTTTATCTAAACCGATATTGATCTCCCATGTATGAAACTCTTATATGTTAAAACCAGTTTCTCACTAATAAACGAACTGTACTTCTCTGTTTATTTAAACTCGGGTGAAATCTATTAATCAATAGACTTTCCAGTATGCGCAGTTTCAATTCATTATTTGCCTTTGCGACAATTTTAAATTGTCATCTATTTACAGGTTCATTACGCTCATTCAGCGCGTGTATCTAGATCTCATATAACCACAATTTTGCATGGCAGAACACGTTAATTTAAAATCATTTTTCAGCATTAATAATTATGTGCTTAACGAATGTAGTGAGCCTATAAATGGAAGACTATTTAAAATTATCGCAAAGACAAATACTGAACTGAAACTACGTGTAAATAGAAAGTTCAACCGAGATCAAATGAGCAGAGTAATGTAGCTCATCTATTACTAATTATATAGCCCTCAGTGGCGCAGCCGTATATCTGCGGATTTACAACGCTAGAATTCGGGTTTCGATACCCGTGGTGGGCAGAGCACAGATAGCCCATAACTACAAACAAAATATATTGTGATATTTCTTCATTCAGTTATATTAAAGGACATAAAATACAGTGTCGGCCTCTGTGGTAATAACCTCAAACTAAAGCCCTTGCTTCGAGATGAAAAGCCGTGGAAGAAATACTCGCAATTTTCATCAACTGCATTTTAGCAGTTGTGATTGTATGAATAGATATTATTTTTAAAATAACTGCCAAATAGCTAGATAGACGGATGGGTATATAGACAGATAGAGATATGCTTATAATATCTAAACGGGAGCAGCATCGCCGAAAGCGTTTCTAAAGATAGTTTGTTTATTGTTAAGCACTAACATAATAGGCTATCTTTTCTGTAACCAACGCGAATATCGAAACATGTAGAGTCGTCAACTTTTTGAAGGCCATAGATAGGCCTCAATAAAATGTTTTTAATTGTGTACCAGTTTACCGTTGAATATTATTTATGATTTTTAACTTTATACACAAGTGCCAAAATACTATAATTACATTTTTAGCGTTCAAATAGTCCTTAAACTTACTACTGAGTTACTAGGGGCCCCGGCATGGCCAGGTGGTTAAGGGCGCTCGACTCGCAGATTGCGAGTCGTGGGTTCGAATCCCCGTCACACCAAACATGCTCGCCCTTTGAGCCGTGGAGGCATTATAATGTGACGGTCAATCCCACTATTCGTTGGTAAAAGAGTAGCCCAAGAGATGGCGGTGGGTGGTAATGACTAACTGCCTTTCCTCTAGTCTTACACTGCTAAATTAGAGACGGCTATCGCAGGTAGCCCTCGTGTAGCTTTGCGCGAAATTCATAACAAACAAACAAACAAACGAGTCACTAGTAGCGTAGAAAAACTTACCGTTTCGAGAGTTTACCATCACGGGTACACCTGATCCACAGATTGCTTTGAATTAAAGTTGATTTCAAGTAACTATTTGAGAAGCGCTATAAAAATCTGACCTCAAGCAAGTAACTTCTATCAGTTATTGAATATGAGAAATTTGGTTTACGTTTCCAAACGAGTCTGACACTGCTTTGAAGACATGCGCGTCTGGAGAGAAAACAACAACTGACATTATACTAACTTAAGTTTAATACCGAAAAAAAAAGATAAATAAACTTAAACTCAATAATCGATAAAGCAAAATTTCGTTCAGCATTTCTATATATCGAACACTTCACCAACTCTTTTCTTAGAACTTTGTATCAGTTTTAGTCATAATCAGCTACAAGTGAATATCAAATATTTAACGCACTTGGTCGAGTATTACTTTAATTAATTGGAGGTGGGAGACAGAAGTCCCCAATGTTTATTATTATTTCAAAAATTCAAATATTTGTTCTTTCAGAATATAAACTGACCAGAGGAAACACGAAGAAAGTTCTGGTTGTTATCTGGGTCTATGCCCTGCTGTGGTCATTACCACCTCTAGTTGGATGGAAAGGATACAGCTATGAGGCTTTCGGAACGTCCTGTTCCCTAGACTGGCACAACTACGGCACCCTAAACATGGTTTATATTTTTGGTGAGTATACATGGCTTATTCACTAGACAGGTCCCACCCCCCAGTGGCACAGCGGTATGTCTGCGGACTTACAACGCTAGAAACCAGGTTTCGATACCCATGGTGGGCAAAGCACAGATAGCCCATTGTGCAGCTTTGTGCATAACTTCAAACAAACAAACAAACACTAGACAAGCACAACCACTATCCTAAACATGGTTTAAATTTTTGGTGGGAATACATAGCCTGTTTATTAGACTGGCATAACATAGCACCCTAAAAACTGGAAATTTTAAAGAACGACATAGCTTGTGGGACAGATAGAATTTATTTAAAGATTTTGAAGGAGGTTAAGAACATGATATATAAGCTATCTACTATTTATGTCTTATAAGTTTTAGGAGGTTAAGAATAGGATATATGATCTATCTACTATTTATGTTTTATAAGTTCTAGAAGGTTAAGAACAGGATATATGAGTTATCTACTATTTATGTTTTATAAGTCCTAGGAGGTTAAGAACGGGATATATGAGCTATCTACTATTTATGTTTTGTAAGTTCTAGAAGGTTAAGAACAGGATATATGAGTTATCTACTATTTATGTTGTTTCAGTCCTAAGAGGATACGAATAGGGTATATGAGCTATCTATTTTTTATGTTTTATAAGTCCTAAGAGGTTAAGAATAGGATATATGAGCTATCTACTATTTATGTTTTATAAGTCCTAGGTGGTTAAGAATAGGATATATGAGCTATCTACTATTTATGTTTTATAAGTCCTAGAAGGTTAAGAACAGGATATATGAGTTATCTAGTATTTATGTTGTTTCAGTCCTAAGAGGTTACGAATAGGGTATATGAGCTATCTACTATTTATGTTTTATAAGTCCTAAGAGGTTAAGAACAGGATGTATGAGCTATCTACTATTTATGTTTTATAAGTCCTACGAGGCTAAGAACAGGATATATGAATTATCTACTATTTATGTTGTTTCAGTCCTAGAAGGTTAAGAACAGGATATATGAGCTATCTACTATTTATGTTTTATAAATCCTAGGAGGTTAGAAACAGGATATATGAGTTATTTACTATTTATGTTGTTTCAGTCCTAGAAGGTTAAGAACAGGATATATGAGCTATCTACTATTTATGTTTTATAAGTCCTACGAGGCTAAGAACAGGATATATGAGCTATCTACTATTTATGTTGTTTCAGTCCTAGGAGGTTAAGAACAGGATATATGAGCTATCTACTATTTATGTTTTATAAGACCTTAAATAGTTGGTAAGATGTTGGTGAATGTTATACCTCTTTTCCAAGAGAGATTATAATTACAGACATACTTAGTCTTACATCAGTGGTGGGAGAAGTGTTTGATAAAGTAAAGTCATTTATTGAAAAGTCAGCATGGTTTCACTAAGAGAAAATCTCGCCTTAGTAATTTTTTGACATTTTTTAAAGTTACTGCTTATGTAGATGAAGGCAAAGGGAGTAGATTTGGTGTATCTGGATTTTCAGAAAGCATTTGATGAAGTTACGCATAAAAGGCTTGTTAAAAAATTCTCTGTAGGTGGGGGAAATAGATTGCCTCATTTGGTAAAAAAAAATTGGCTAGATGGGAAATGCACGTGGCTGTTTTAAGTCAAACTGCACTAATGTCGCAGAAGTGGGGTACTTCAGGACTCAGTGTTGGGATCTTTGCTCTTGTTTTGATTTACATCAATGACATAGATGGAGAAAAGGTCAATATTATTGACATTTGTTTATTGTATTAAAGTTGCTGACTGTGAGGAGAATTCTGCAGCTTTACAAAATGATTTGGTGAGTTGGACGAACAAGTGATAGTAAGATTTCAATTATAATAAATGCAAGGTAATACCTGTGAGATATCATAATTTGAATTATAGGTATAATTGTAATGGAAATAGTCCTAACAGTGTTATGGAAAAAAAAAAGGATTTCGGTATTCTAGTTGATTAGTTTATTACGCCACCAAAAGAGTGTACTGTTGTTAGTTGCAGGGCAAATATGATCTTTGATTGTATTTACAAAAGAAATAAATATAAATCTAAAGAGGTTATAAGTCATGGCATGGTCATTGGTTAGGCCACATTTGAGTATTTTGTTCAGTCTTTAGTGCCTTACCTTAGAAAGGGTTCAGAGGAGGGCTATTAAGATGATATCTGGGATGTAAATTTTGTCATATGGGGACAGGTTAAGATCTCTGGAATTATTTTCTCGTGAAAAAAAGAAGAGTTGGAGTGGATTGTTTAAGGGAACTGAATGTTGATGCGACATTTTTTTTCGTACTTAACTGTGTTAATGGTAGGACTAAAGGACACAAATTTACATTTTGGTAGAGTAAGAGTCATCTTCAGCTAAGACAGCTTTATTATTCTAACAGGGTAATTGGCCTTTGATTTGGGTTGCTTTCAATGCTTCTCTTGGTCTTGAGTACTTCTATGTCCAGAAAATGTCATTCTAATTGTAAGAAGCATTCTTTAAACTCAATAAACTCAACATATTAAGCAGAAGCTAATGCTCAAGTTATCAGTTCAGAGACTCAGCAATAAACTCTGGCACCAAAACTTCTCCTTCCTATCTACTTGTGGTATTTTCAGGTGGAAGGTGAGTTTCCAACAAGTATCAAATACTTAGGCCTGTTAATAACAGCAGATTTGGTCAGGAAATAAGGAAAGTAAGTTATGTTTTCCTAGCGTTTGTGAAATAATGAGGCTGTAAAAAATGCAATCTTTATTATGAAACAGACAATAAGAAAATATAGCTTTTGTACTTGCACACACAAGACAGGACAGTAATTCCTAGTGGATCGAGATTAGCTCCACAACTTCTTTTTTCTCTCGGGATAAACTTCTGTACAACTACACTTGTCGATCGCCAGATGGATATTGAACTAAAAAAAGCCTGAATTCTATCGGTAAACTCTGTTTCTTTGTTCTAGTTGACAGCATCACCTCGTGACCTTTTCCAATCTATTGGTTGATAGAAACTGCTGTAACATTAATCATAAATATCCCAGTCTTTATCGGCATCAGAGCACCTACACATAATTACAACAAAGGAACTTACAGTAAAATATCCTGTTAATAGTGATTAAAACACCTAAGGTACAGCATTAAATTCTCACAGTTTGTAGTTTAACTACAGCATTAAGACAGATATGCTAAACACTAAACATCAAATTTATCTGTTTTATATACATATCAAAACATTCATCTTCTTTTAAAACTTTTTCATCTATTATATTTCCTAAGTAATAGTTTTGTTCAAAGAAATGTAAAATTGTACATGTAACTTGTGTAAAACAAAAACTAAATTTATCTACTGTATAAAGCACTCAAAAGTAAATGGCATGAATGCAAAGAAAACTGATACAAGAAAAGAAATGCTGAAGTAAACACTTTTAATACAAGCAACAATTTCCAACATATCTACTAGATCTTATGTCTAGTAGCAGCAGTCACACATCATGTGACAAAATTATATAAAATACATACTTTCACAAGTTTTTACTTTCCAGTTATTAGTTATGGTAGATTTAGGCACTAAAAAAATGAGCAGACACACCCTCACAGAGGAAAGAAAGACATTACTTGGATACAAGGTTGTTGTACATGTAGCTTTATTGTTTCACACGAATGAGGAAAAAACAGTTTGCTTTTTCTATTTGTAAATGCAGAGACTGTGTTCTCAAACAATGCCAAATTATTAAAAAACATCATAATACAAGCAAAACTATGAAAAAACCCAACAAATAACATCCACAAGTTAGCATCTACAGTAGATGTTTTGTTGGAAAAGTGAACTTAAACATCCCCTTCAGCTCAACAAGTAAGCAATACACAAATTTGTAAATGTGTATGAAAGACAATGACAGAACATGAGCTTGGACAGTCTTAGTCCCCATGTGTAGTTTATATGGCTGATTACATGAGAATGTGGAAAACATGAAGATGACTAATAGGTTTGATTGGTATCCTATATGTAGACTTATTATTAAGATGAATGAAAGCCATTTAGCCTATGAAAGCACCTTTCCACTCATCAAAACATCATCAACCAAAGCACCAAATCCAAAATAAATTGTACATGCAGCTTTTCACACTTTGTTCTTGTAAGCACTTAAAACTGTAAATGGATGGTGCTTCAATGTAATGCCTAATACCTGATCATTGCAATGAAGAAGAGTAATTCAACTACCAGATGGAGAGAAATCATGGCCCCGATTGAAGAAATATTTTGTGAATGTGATATGGATGTTAATGTGGGGCTTGTTGGAAAAAAAACATCAGATTTTAAAAATAGATAAGTCTCCTGGACCTGGTAATATTTAACTTTAAAACAGATCACAGCCAGATTTCTGAACCATTTGTTTTCATTTTTTGGTAGATCAATGAACAGATGACGTGCCTGAAGATTGGAAGGTGTCTAATGTTACTAGAGTTCTTAGAGGGGGGGGGGGGATAAACATTGTTCACAAAAGTTTAGACAAACTAGTCTTACTTTGGTATTAGGGAAAGCTTTAGCCTAGTAAGATATTTTGTCAGACAATTTGATGAAGTTCAAGGTTATGCCAGACAACCAATGCAGCTATACAAATAACTTTTTGAAGGATGTTACTTCTTATGTGAATGATGGTAAAGAAGTAGATTTTGTTTACTTGGACTTTCAGAAAGTTTTTGGTAAGGTGCTGCATAAAAGATTGGCAAAAAAACTACCATGTTGAAAGAAGAGATACATTAGTTAAATGGACTAAAGGTTGCCTGGTATTTAATGATGTTCAGTCTAACTGGAGTAATGTTACAAGTGGTATGCCTCATGGTAGGCCAAATACAAATGGATGTAAGAAGGAAACTGAGATGTGAATATGTCCCTCCCAAAAGAAATACCCAAGTGCAATTTTTCTTCTTCCAGATGGAGAAAATGCTAGAATCTTTATACAAAATTTAAAATATAGCAAAAACTTTACTGAATAAAATTAACTAACAACAGCTGACAAAAACAAAACAAATGCCACTTGTGCAGTACATAGGCAAAAATCCCTGTCAGTTATGTTTATCTTGACCTTTTGAGGTACATGATGATCTTAAGGCTGATTGTACTTTGGGCCTAAAACTGACTGGATAGCACCTGTAGTTTAACAATAACATTAGACCTTGTTGAGCTTACTTCAGGGTCTAATGAAATGCTTAAAAATCTAATGTTAGACATTTTTTTTAAATGCATGGGAAGACATTTAATAGCATTATGAAATTATACTTATGTGATAATTTCATATGATTGTTTCAAACAATGTGAAAATGTAACTAATTATAGCATAGGATATAAATTATAATAGTGTGATTTTCTAGTATAAAAAAAAGAATAAGAAATTACACATTCTTTGTTTAAGGCTGTAATAAATAATAAATTTAAAATATGAATTATTATTATTATACTCTTTATCTACAAATGCTGAGAAAGTGTGCCATGCATTCTTGCATAATGTTAACAGAACTATCAAGTCGTACATTCCAAATGATACGTTAAATAGTGCTGTGAACTTAAATAGTGCTGTGAACGCATCAGCCTAATTTCTTAATCTTATACTAAATAGTACTACTAATAATAGTAATAAGCATGGTGGTGTTGTGAGTGTTGCTTTATGATTGAAGAATGTGACTGTGATTATGATGTAGTAAAGGTCTGTTTTATGATACATTTTTGAAGTTATTGCTTCTTATGTTGAATATATTGTCAACAATTTGGTCAGTAAAATACTTAAACTTTAAAGTTAAACAAAACTGACAATTTTGAGAACAAGTCTTTCTTTAATGAACTTTGAATATGTTTACTGAGTGATAATAAATTAAAAGGATGTGCATGTTGTATTACTGTTAGTTTTACGTGCATTTTGTGAAAATTCAACTTTTAAGAGTGATGCAGTTGTATACTGATAGTCATATCACTCTGGTGTAGCTATACTGCCTATAGTGTAGGAAGCCACTGTGGTTCACATTGCCTGATTTTTTTTTCTGTCAGTATCATTAATAATAATTAATATCAGTCTATGCACCTATAACGTGTAATATTTACTATGTAATCGGTAATAATATAATTTGCACTTCAGAAAACTGACATGAAAATATTAAGTAGACCTACCCAACCTAGCTACTGTAGTCTGTAGTACTAGTAGTACAATTTTTACTAACAATATTAATTTTATTTTTAGCTTACCTGGAAGTTAAGCCTCTCTGATAAATAACTGAAATACGTCCTTGGATTCATCGTCAGACTTAGTCTTAGTACTACATTACTAGTGCTAGTGTAGTACTAACGTTAGTGAAGAGTTTCATCCTCTACGCTTTATCTTAGTCTAACTTTGAAACTGTTAGACTTTGAGTCGAGTTTTCAACGAAAGTTAGTCTTTTTTTCATTTGTCTTCTGAAGTTCTGTCCTGAAATAAAGACTATATTAGGTATAGATTTAACTTAACTAATCTCCCAATCACTTGATTTTACACTAGATACGGTTCAAATGATGTTATCAAACACTGAACAGTTCAATTTAGCTTGCCATAACTACAGTAGTATAGATACTTACTTGTTTAGTACTAGTATTCCTAGTACATGTAATTTGTTGATATAATTACAAATAATAACTTGTTTATTAGTATTACTACGGTATTGGTTACTATGAGTATTACAACTATTGGCGCTGTTAGTGTTAAGCTTAAAGTTATACGTACATAAATCACATTTTTATGTCAACTCTACAACTAAATATAATTTTCTTAGGAAGTGCTTCCTTTAAATCATTGTACCACTAGGTGTCTCTTAGAT